TCTAAATACAAGATTACTATGAATCAGACAAAGTTCAGGTCTAAACCTTGGTCTGGATCTGAAGATTTGGAAGATAACCTGATACACCTATCAGTTCACCTATAGATTGTACATATTTATTAGTGGGTATGGGCACAAACTGGTTCAATCCCAGTTCATAAAGGTGGTAGCACAAGTGCTGCTGCTCCCCTTCCCCACCTTCTCTGCCAATCAGCCACTCAACAGGCCCAGCTTGCTTTTTCACCTGCTCAACCTCCCAATCACGAGCAAGCGCATAGACTTCTCTGTCTCACCCTTTTGTCTGAGTGGGGCATAAGCCAAGAGGACAGGGCAGAGAAGCCTTAGCTGTTGCCAGGACTGGAAAACCAGTCCAGGAAATGCAGGGAACTAGCATGCTGGGCCTGGTGAGTGACTGATTGAACCAGAGGAGGTGGGGAGGGGTGGCGAACTGGGACAAACCAGCACAAATCAGTATGAACTGGGACTAATCAGTTCATGCCCACTTCTATTTATTAGATGACTGAACTGGGAAATCAGGGCTAATTCACATTGACTTGTATGTCATGTAGTCAAAAATAATGCGGATCAAACTATCCCAGTCCCAGGGTACCTTCTATATTTGTTAATGTAGCTACACCCGTACTATGCTAATGCAAGTCACAACTTGAGTAGATCTATTTAAATCAATGGAAGTTACCAAATCCCAGCTGATTCTACTCTAGCGCAATATACTACACTAAGTGACAGGGTTTCAGACAATGTGTTGCATATGGGTTATAACTCTGCTCTTGAAAACTATAGGTTCTAAAAGGTAATGTAGCAGGTGACTCCCATTTTTCTCCAGCACAGGCCAATCAGAGCTAAAGCACATTCTGTGACTAATTTCATACCAGGTGTTATTTTGCTGCCTTAAATTCTTTTAGGCCAAAAAAATTGGAAAGATAAACTGTGCATAAATCCTTTTAAAAAAATAATAGAAAAGCCTCCGGTCAAACATAGTTCTTGTGGGACATAGTGATAGTCATATTGAAAAAACCAAGAAATATCCCTTTAGATGTAGATGTTTTATTTCACATTTCAAGCTGTTGTGGGTCCTCCACTAAGAAAAAGGTGGGATGTAAGTAAAATAAAGATTGCAAGTATTTTTTATTATTTTAAAGTGCTTCAACATTCATGACATTTTACATAAACTTACAGCAAATAGCAACATCAGGACTGAAAAGATCTGGATTATTTAAAATCTAGGCACTAATTTTGTTCCTTCACTGTCATCTTAATTATGTCAAGTATCAGCAAATCCACAAGGTAAAAAACCCCAAGTTTCCTCCCACTCATTATACTGTGATGGGAGCATCTAACCTAAATTATACACTGCATTAAACCTCTGATAGAACACATCTTTTGAATGTAGAAAGGCTTGGACTGAATGCATGGCATCTTCCATTAAAAAAAACATAACTGCTGGTAATAAAATGGGAAGACTCTGCCTAATAGCACCTAGCAAAATAGATGGCTCAATGAACCACCAGTTTATGCACTGGTGTGGTTTTCATATGTGTACAGATGCACCTCAGATTTGCAACCCAGGAAATGGGACATACGTTCTTCTCCTTCTTGTTCACAGTCCCGTGAATTATGCAGAGTTCCAACATCAAATTTACAATTTTGTTTCAAAATGGTGATGAAAAACAGTACTATACTGAAAATCAATGGGTGCACACAAACATAGGGAGAATTGGATAAAATTTAGCTACATAGATGCAACATACAGGACATGGTTTTGTAAACTTTCCAGAAATCAGAATTTGATTTAAAAATGCTTCTTAATATGAAGTTGCTCTGCCTGGATTTATCATCTTTTAAAAATATTTTTGATAAAGATAGCAAAATGTCAAAGAAAAAGGTGCCACTTTAAACCCAGAGCATTTGTCCCCTTAATAAAAATTAGGATCACCAAATAAGTCCTTTTATAACGGAAAAAGGGGTCACTATGTTTACCTTAAGAATAAAAAAAGTATTACCACTACTGTATTTGGAATTTTATTAGGTCACCCAAAAAGGGGCAGAAGGCTGTTAAATTTGTGGTTACCTAAAGGGGAAAGAGTGTAACTACATTATCAAGCAAAGATGGCTATTCTTCAGAACTATGAAGAGGAAATAGCGTCCAGTCCAGGAGTGGGACCAGAGATCAGGAAAATGGTTATCATACTTTAACAAGAGGATGAGCTCAGCAGTAGAATAGATGGTTTGCATGAAGCTGCTCTTGGGTTCAATTCATGGCATCTCCAGGTATTGCTGAAAAAATAATCTCTTGCTTGAAACCCTGCAGAGCTACTGTCAGAACTGAAAACACTGGCTTCCTATGTTCCTAAGGCAGATGTCAGCCTGTTTATGAAATCCAAGCATTTCAGCAAGGCAAGTTAAAAGATGAAACTTTTTCCAAGGGGATATCTGTGTTAGGGTGTGATCAGGTGGCGTTTGTCCCACTGTTTGGTCCACTGTGGGGAACGGGCTGGTTAACTCCTTTTTCTGTTGATCACACGATGTAACTGCTAGAGTGAACCAGCCTTTCCCCAGGGTGTTCCTACCCACACCTTTCTGGGTCCCTGTCAGGGCTTCTATCTTTTTTGGGTGTGGCTAGGATCGCACCATTATGGTTCTTTTCCAGGCCTTGTAATTGCTGGAAATAAACCAAAGTGGAGCTTGCAGCTTTAAACTTCCCTTCTGCTTTCAATTTCCCAATTTCATTAGTAGCTTAAAAAGACAACTTAGCCACTTCACGATACTGGGAAATTAAGCACTGCTTGTACTTCATGGATGGGCAAAGCAAGTTTTTTTTAAAAAAGCTGTATTAGGATAGTATTAATGAGCTGCATCACTTAGGAAAAGATTTTTAAAATGGAAAATGTCCTCCTGGAAGAGAGTTCAAAGAGGGTTTTTTAAAAGGCTTCAGTAAACATTAATCAGACAAATAACACTTTTCTAGAATGTAGGTAGTGACAGCTGTGAGAAAAAATATTACAACCAGACACTCAACATGTTATGAGCATAAAAGTGAAATTACTTGCCCATGATCATATCCGTAACACAGCAACATACAGATATAACATATACTAAATAAAGAAATTAAAAATTCTCTTCCTCTGCTCCTTCACAGAAAGAAAGAAACCTGGAGGAAACAAGAGGGCACAAGGACAGAGATTTTTCTTCTGCTCTCTAAGAAGGTGAACGAAAAAGGGCCATTTGAAGTACGTATGACATTTGGATGCAAGGATAGCATCAAATGACATACAAGATCTCTACCTGACCCAAGCAACCATATTTATCCTGCATCAAAAGCGTTCATGTAGAGAAGCCCATAGTTTGGTTGTTGTGGGTTTTTCGGGCTTCTTCGCCGTGTTCTGAAGGTGGTGTTTCCTAACGTTTCGCCAGTCTCTGTGGCCGGCATCTTCAGAGGACAGCAAACTGTGCTCTAGTGTAGTTTGGCTAGGGCGTGGAGTATTTATGGCTGTGGGATGGGATGAGTAGTGTGTATTGTTGTGGGTGTATTGTTGTGATAAGGAGATTATCTGTCACTGTGGTTGATGGTAGTGATCCCCTTGACCTTGTGGTTGGGTAGAGTTCGTGACCTTTTGCATGCTGTATTCTTGAGAGCTGGGAGCCAAGTTTTGTTGAGTTTCAAACTTTCCTCTTTTTTGTTGAAGTTTTTCTGGTGCTTGTGGATTTCAATGGCTTCCCTGTGCAGTCTGACATAATGATTGCTGGTGTTGTCTGGTATTTCAGTATTTTTAAATAGAATCTCATGTCCAGTTTGTTTTAGGGCATGTTCAACTACTGCAGATTTTTCTGGTTGTTTTAGTCTGCAGTGTCTCTCATGTTCTTTGATTCTGGTGTGGATGCTTCGTTTTGTGGTTCCAATGTATACCTGGCCACAACTGCAAGGTATCCGGTATACTCCTGCAGCGGTGAGGGGGTCCCTTCTGTCCTTTGCTGACCGTAACATTTGTTGTATTTTTGTGGTGGGCTTGAATACTGTTTTTAGGTGGTGTTTTTCCAGAAGTTTCCCCATGCGGTCTGTGACCCCTTTGATATATGGCAGAAATACTTTGTTTGCGGGTGGCTGTTTTTCTTCTTCAGCTCCGTGTTGTTTTCTTGGTTTGATGGCTCTTGTGATTTCATTTTTGGAGTAGCCATTTACCTGTAGGGCCCAATTCAGGTGGTCGAGTTCAGTGTTGAGAAACTGAGCTTTGCGGTTCCGATTTGCACGGTCTACCAGTGTTTTGATTATGCCTCTTTTTTGCCGTGGGTGGTGGTTGGAGTTTTTGTGTAGGTACCTGTCTGTGTGGGTGGGTTTTCTGTAGACCTTGTGTCCCATAGTTTGTTGCAGCAAAACCAAAGGTCATTGTCCTCAATAATGTGATTGTGGAAGAGCAATTATGTAAGCATTCACCATGTGACAAGCTCCCCAGTGTATGCTATTGCATGAGAAGGGCTACGCCAGTGTGAGGGAAACTGCACAATTTCTCTTATGCTCCAAATAGGATACTAGCCAAAGGGTCTCGTAGCACAATGTGTGTTATGTGTTGTCAAGTCACCTCTAACTTATTGTGCCCCTCACATCATGTCAAGGTAAATGAGACATTTAAGGAGTGGTTTTCCATTTCCACCCACTCCACCACACATGAGTTTCCATGGCTGAATGGGGATTTGAACCCAGGTCTCCTGCATTCTACTCTATCACTCTATCCACAACATCCTTCTAGACAAATAATAAGTTTTATTTTGCATAAGTTTCAGTGGACAGCTGCACACTTGCCTCTAATTAATGCTTATGCCAAATAAAACATGTTAGGCTTTAAAATGCTGCAAGATTCTTTGTTTTAAAAACAGAAATGTCCTCATGTTTTATTTAGGATTCTGTTAAAGAGGGAGCGAATGGCAGCTCTTTTTCCTTTACAGAAGCACTCGCTTTGAGTTGAACATCAGGAAATTTGGCTAGATAGCAGTAGTGGACAATGTACGGAGCATGTGAGCAGAAACCCTTGGAAGCAGGACCATTAGAAGAACTTTGGCGAGAGGTCACTGGAAAGTGAGGCAAGTGTAGTTAGCTGATTGCTTCCTTCTTTAATCAGCTGGGGACCCATCTAAACTTATAGCCTCCAGTAACTGTCCTGACAGTAAACGCATTGCCCTGAGGAAAGGCCAAGGTTCGGATATTACTATGCTCTTGGATGGATGTCCTGAAGGACGCCTCTTCCTCCAGTTCACTTCCACTCAAGTCCAAGGAGTGATGATTGCTGCAGGTCTGCAACCCTCGGAAAGCTCCATACATCTGGACAGTATCATTCTCCCCACGCTGGCGCTTTGGGCCTCTGTCGTCAATGCACTGCAAGGCTGCATTGCACTTGCCTGATATTTCCCGCAAAATGTCATGCACTTCCATGTCATCCTCTTGCTCAGCGACGGACATCTCATTGAGGCATCTCTTGTTGTTGCCATTGCCGAGGGAGACGTCTGCGCGTTCTCTGCATTGCGGGATCATCAGCTTCTTCCAAGAAAGAAAATCAAAAGCACTCTGTGTCATCAGCTCTGTGTTTAACTTATATGCTAATGTAGAGAAAGTATGACGGGATCTATGCATGGCGGATCTATGGAGTCACATTGCATACATTTCTAAAGTCAACGCAGACATGCTTCTAGTAACATATCTGCTGGAAAATCCATACAGATTTTTTTTCATTAAATAAAGTCTGCCAAACACACTTGGAGATTGGAAAATAAGGAACCCAATGGAAACCAAAATTTAAAAATGTGAAAAAAATACATTGCATACATTTCTAAAGACAGGACAGACATACATCCAGTATCTGCTAGAAAAGTGTACATGAAAATGTGTGTGAGATGTTCAAGAAGTACTTCATCATTAAAGGTTCTCCTTGACATTTAGTCCAGTCATGTCCGACTCTAGGGCACGTGTCTGTCTGTCTGTCTGTCTGTCTGTCTGTCTGTCTGTCTGTCTGTCTGTCTGTCTGTCTGTCTGTCTGTCTGTCTGTCTGTCTGTCTGTCTATTTATTTATTTATTTTATTTTATTTTATTTTATTTTATTTTATTAGCACTCTCCGGGCGCTCCAGCCTTGGGCGGGCCTCCAGATGTTCTTGAACTACAACTCCCAGAAGCCTTCACCACCACTTCTGCTGGCCAGGATTTCTGGGAGTCTAAGAACATCTGGGGATCCAAGGTTGGGAACCACAGCTCTAGGCCAATACACCACACATACTCAAGAAGAAATAGACAATGCTGATCTGCCATGATTAACCAGATTATGAATGGGTCAGGACCATATAGGAAGACTATGTCTCCGTCTCCATCATACCGATGCAACATCAGCAGTAGGCACACCTGGTGCATACACAAGTAGGTACAGAAGGGAACTACTAGGAAAGACATCTCAGCACTTACATCCAGCACAGAGGCAAGCTGTTTTGCTTGACTGGCTAGTTCCTTCAGTTGTATATTCCTTTCCTTCAGGGATACAATTTCTTCTTGCTTTTGGCTCAGCGTCACTTGGAGCTGTTTGAAGATGAGCAGGGTCAGTTTGAGATGCTACAAGAGGAAATTGCTACAGCATGAGTGAACCACAAAACACACAGAAGCTACATTTCAATCATCTGGTAAATGCTTATTTTATTTATTTATTTATTTATTTTTTATATCACCCCTTTGGCCCAAGGAAGGAACGGAAGAGCAGTAAGTTAATTCCTTGAAAATACACAGTAATACCATTCTAGTAAAGATTGGCCTTCTCAGCACAACAAGACAACATCCTTAATTTTTTCCCAGCCCTTTGAAGATATCTCACATTCAGTGTGAAATCCAGATGCCAAATGTTTGAGGTTTTTTAAAATTATTCTTATTTGTGGGTTCTGTAATGTAAATACAATGTAAATTGCCTGAAATTCTGTTGTGCAGCAGCAATTTTTTTGAAATTAAATATTCCTAATTCTTCCTCCTGAGGGCCTCCTGGGATCTCTTTCATCACTTTGGGAAAGTTGCCAGGACTCACAGGATAAATGGGAAGTTTTTGATAAATAAAATTGCTACCAACAATAAAATCATTCAGGTGGGAGTGATCTTCAGAAATTAAAGACTTCCTCCCATACCATTGTAGGTAATTTTGGCTCAGCGTCACTTTCTAATACACATCACATTCTAATACACATAAAAACACAAATCATCACAACCATGGCCCCCAATGGCTTCTCATAATGAAAGGCATCCCAAAGAAGAATTGGAACGTTCAGAATTTTTTACATTTCCAATGAATCACCATGGCTGATGATGTCCTCAGCCTTACACAGCATAGCTTCAATACATGACTACCTTCTTGCTTTGGTACACACAGGCAGATGTTAAGAACAGGCAGTTCAGCAGGCCCCTGTAAATGGGGACTCTCAACCTTCACTACTTTGTGGCTATATCTACTGATGGAAAAGGCTTCAGGAGTTAACCTCAAGGCAAAATCTGCCCGGAGGCAGTTTGTGTCGTTCTGGCAACTGCTGTGACGTCGCTGGAACCAGTTGTATAGGCTCTTGCCTTTCCATTGGACTACTTCAGCGATGAGGAGAGGGGGGATTTGCTGCTTGGGTAATAGTCTATCCTCTATATTATTTTACCCAAGCTTTGTGTTCTGGAGAGGACACTCCAGCTTCGCATACAGCATCAAAACAACACAGGAAGTAGCAGTTACCGGTTATAAGTCTTTGCTTGATTGGCATAGAGCATGACGCCAGGGGCTATTTCTGATGATGGGAGAGGTCATTGCACCTCACTAGGTAACTACCACCCACCTTAAGCTGGGCAGTCCCCAGCCAGTAAGGTGCTACCTCACCACTGTCTGTTAACCTCACGTGGTGCATGGGGTTTAGGGTGAAAGCAGACAACAGATCAATAACCCTGTACGATGCAACTATCGTATGAAAACTTCTGCCGGGGGCTATTTCTGATGATGGGAGAGGTCATTGCACCTCACTAGGTAACTACCACCCACCTTAAGCTGGGCAGTCCCCAGCCAGTAAGGTGCTACCTCACCACTGTCTGTTAACCTCACGTGGTGCATGGGGTTTAGGGTGAAAGCAGACAACAGATCAATAACCCTGTACGATGCAACTATCGTATGAAAACTTCTGCCGTAAAGTTGGGCACCTGGAATGTCCAGACAATGACCCCTGGCTTTTCTGACGACCTACAGGAAATAAGACAACGTGCGCAAGACAGCTGTCATTGACATGGAACTGAGTAGACTGCAGATGGACATTGCTGCCCTGCAAGAGATGAGATTGCCAAGCATGGGATCTGTTAAAGAAAAAAGCTTCTCATTCTTCTGGCAGGGAAAACCATTGAATGAGACTAGGGAACATGGTGTTGGCTTTGCAGTCAGAAATACTCTGTTGAGATCCATTGTTCCACCTACAGTGGGGAGTGAAAGAATCGTGTCTCTACAGCTCCACTCATCAGCGGGACCAGTCACCCTCATTAGTGAATATGCACCAACACTGTCGTCCACAACAGAAGTTAAAGACAAATTCTATGACGATCTGGCAGCTACTATCAAAAAAATCCCCAAGAGAGAACCACTGTTCATTCTCAGAGACTTTAATGCTAGAGTTGGTGCTGATCACAATTCCTGGACAACTTCTTTAGGCTGTTTTGGCATTGGGAAGATGAATGAAAATGGCCAACGCTTGCTGGAGTTTTGCTGTTATCATGGTCTTTGTGTCAGCAGCACGTTCTTTAATACAAAGCTTTGACACAGAATCTCTTGAGACATCCAAGATCGAAGCATTGTCATCAGCTCGATTTGATCCTTACTAGACATTCTAGCCTTCCTAGTACATGATCACATGCAGTTACCAGAGTGCTGATTGTGATACTGATCACTCCCTGGTGTGTAGTAGAGTAAAATTGCGAGCAAAGAGATTGTAGCACATGAAAAAGGAAGGAAGACCACGTATTGACATCAGCAAGACTCGTGATCAAAGAAAAGTGGAGGAATTTGCCCAAGTGCTTGAGGAAACCCTTCCAGGTCCGGCTGATGCAAATGCACCTGAAAGATGGGAAAATTTCAAGCATGCTCTTTATAACACCACCTTGTCCACATTTGGCAAGAAGACCAAAAAGCAGACTGGTTCGAAGTGTATTTGGAGTTTATGCCAGCCATTGAGGCTAAGAGGAGAGCTCTAGCAACATACAAAGCCTGTCCTAATGAGTACAACTTGCAGGCTCTTTGACTTGCTCGTAGCAAAGTTCAACAGGCTGCCATGAGATGTTCCAACGTTTATTGGCTTCAGCTCTGCTCTCAGATACAGATAGCAGCAGACACAGGTAACATCAAGGGAATGTATGATGGTATCAAGCAGGCTTTAGGTCCAATACAGAAAAAATCTCCTCACTTGAAGTCTGCTACTGGTGTGATCATCCAGGATCGAGCACAGCAGATGGACCTCTGGGTGCAGCACTACTCTGAGCTATATTCTAGAGAGAATATAGTAACCGAAGAGGCATTAAATAACATTGAGTGCCTGCCTGTCTTGGAAGAGTTGGACAGCGAACCAACTTTAGCAGAAATAAAAGCGACCTGGAATTCCATCGCCTACGATGGAATCCAAGGCCGCTTGGATTCCATTCAAGGCACCTGGGAAGGATAACATCCCTGCTGAAGTGCTGTAAGAGACAATCACCACCGAGCTGTATGAAATCTTTTGTCTTTGCTGGAAGGAAGGTGGAGTACCACAGGACACGAAGAATGCAAACATCGTCACATTGTATAATAACAAAGGCGACAGGTGCGACTGCAATAACTACCATAGCATCTCTCTTCTCAGTGTTGTAGGGAAGCTGCTTGCCCATGTTGTGCTGAAGAGGCGCCAGATGCTTGCAGACAGAGTCTATCCAGAATCACAGTGTGGATTTTGAGCTAATAGATTCACCATTGACATTGTATTCTCCCTCATAGTTGCAGGAAAAATGTAGGGACCAACAACAGCCATTCTTTGTGGCCTTCACAGATCTCACAAAGGCTTTTGATTTGGTTAGCAGGGATGGATTTTTAAAATACTTCCCAAGATTAGATGTCCACCTCGACTCCTTAACATCATCAGGTCCTTTCATAAGGAAATGAAGGGCACTGTAGTTTTTGATGGCTCAACATCGGATCCCTTTGACATCTGAAGCGGAGTGAAACAGGTCTGTGTCCTCATGCCAACCCTGTTTGGGATCTTTTTTGCTGTCATGCTGAAGCACGCCATTGGAACTGCAACAGAAGGTGTCTATCTCCGGACTAGATCAGATGGAAAGCTCTTTAATCTCTCTAGATTGAGAGCAAAGACCAAAGTCCAACTGAAATGCATGTGGGAGTTCCTCTTCACAGATGATGCAGCCCTTGTTGCCCACTCTGCTGAAGACCTCCAACAACTCATGAATTGTTCTAGCAAGGCCTGCCAAGACTTTGGATTAACAATCAGCCTGAAGAAAACACAAGTCATGGGCCAGGGTGTGGACTCACCTCCCTCTATTACCATCTCCACACAGAAACTGGAGGTTGTTCATGACTCCATGTACCTTGGCTCAACAATCTCTGACACCCTCTCCCTAGATGTTATGAGCTGGATAAATGCATTGGCAAAACAGCTACCATGTTCTCTAGACTCACAAAGAAAGTATGGCTTAATAAGAAGCTGATGGCATATATGTACCAAGATCCAGGTCTATAGAGCCTGTCTCCTGAGCACACTCCTGTACTGCAGTGAGTCCTGGACCCTTTGTGCACGGGAGGAGAGGAAGCTGAACAGGTTCCATATGCATCTTTGATGCATCTTTGTTGAAATCAAATCCACTTTGCTACAATGTGCACTTAAATGGAGGCATGTGCCTCGAGATGTTTACTGCTAAAACAGCTACATGGTTGTACTGTGTGTAATTTTTGGCTATTCAGTCTCTTTCCATACCTGACTGTTTTCTTCAAGTGCATCCCCTAGTGCCTTCTGGTTATGGTCTGCCAAGTCCTTCCAGTACTGCTCAATGAAAGATACGTTTTCTGCATTTGTGTGTGAGGCAGGATCAATCTGCACTGAGGGATCAAAGCAAGGGCTGAATGGTCTTCCATCATCCACAGGGAAAGAGAAATCAGCAGGGTCTAGCAGAGGTGGCATCAGAGAGGCTGGATCTAGGAAGCCAATAAGAATCAGTTTACATGGCTGACCAATACCCATACCCAATGAATTGCAGTGTTTAGTGTTAAACTGAAGGCCAAACTAGATGTAAATTAGAAAAACTGAGAGTTAGAATTTGCTGTGCTTTGTTCACACTGCACCAGCAGCAGATGTGGTGGGAAGCACGGCTATTCCACTAACCTAGCTGAAATATTACTTCCCTGATAGATCACCCCCACACTCTCCCACATCACAGAGAGTAGTCATTCCAGCAGGCTGCAGTAGAGGGTGATGAGGCAGGAAGCAGGTCATTCTAATGCCTTTGATTTTTTTTTTTACTTCCCTCCACATCCTTTCCCCACATCTTTTGGGTCACACCTCTCTTGATCTTAAAAATAGTGTAGCAAGAATTGCCTTTTATTGACTGCATGTAAGCCACTCTTAAGAACTTTTTCAACTGGGAAGCAAGATCAAATACTTACATAAATATTAGTACAATCCTACCAGTTACATTTCCCAGCTTAAATGCCTAACCAAGGTGCTGTTAGCCATGCAACTTTCTCTCCTACCCACACTACGGAGCCAGCAATAGGAAGGGATGGGGTGATTTTACATCAAGGAAGTAGCACCGGAGAAAGACACAGGCAGCACGGCAGTCTCCATTCAATCCTTTCCATTCCTCTAGCTATTTTTGATGGAAATAAATTATGAGAGCCTGATCATGGATCTCTTCTCTTTCTTCTACTTGATTTCCGTACAGTCCCATCAGGAAATGCTTCCTCTGCACTTGGGAAAGTTAGGAGGGACCCCTAGTGACTGTATATAGTATTGCTGAGCAAAATTCTAATGAATTGGACTAATCAATCAATCAATTTTGAAATAACCTGAAGTGTACCTTCTAGGTTCCTTTAGAATCTATGCCGAGTTCCAGGAACAGACATTACAGCTAACTGGTCACTAGAAGAGGAAATTTCTTAAATGCTAACAATCTCTGAATGCACGGCAGCTTTTCTTACCTCACTAATTTGTAAATTAAACACAGGATTCCTTTATCAAATAAATGTCTATCTGAATCACACTTTCTCTAGCATCAACATACTTTCAGTTGTAATTACAGATTATTTATAAGTCTGTTTTTGCCCTCACTCTTGGAACTATTGCCCATCTGCATGCACATCACACACAGTTTTATTATTATTGATTAAGAAGAATTGTCCCCTTTGTTATGCAGAAAGCATGAAAAATGGAAAACCATTTACTTTTTTAAAAAGTAAAGTGGAAGGAGACACTTTGGCACAAAAAAAACAATGCCTCTTTTAAGAGATTGTCTAATGCCTTGGCATTATAAGTCAAAACATACCTTTAAGTGTGGAGTGTTGTTTAATCAAATAAAAGTGTACGCAGAGTTAATGGATTCAATGCTACACATGCCTTCCCAGCAGGAAGGCCAGTTGAACACCAGTGGGCTTACCAGCATTCACTTTAAACCAACAGGTACAATTATAAGTGAGTCCATGAACTGACTGGTACCCAATGTGGTGCAGTGGGTAGAATGAGAGACCAGGGTTCGAATCCACTCTTGGCCATGGAAATTCACTAGCGGGTGTGGAACTTGTAAAACCACTCCTTAAGGATCTCCCTTACCTTGAAAGCCCTGTTAGGGATGCTATATGTAGGCTCCGACTTGGCGGCCCATAACTAACTATGAATCTAACAATTTAGCCTTGAGCTTAGCGGTAGCCTCCATGACACATTCGCACTAGCACGCTCTTCCTCCTCCGTCAGGTGTCGTGAGAAATTGTCAGTATACTTGCCGCATATGAAGCTATCCACCGCCTCACGAAAGTCCTGAAAATCAAAGTCAGGCTCAGGCTGCAAGCAGGCGCTCTGAAAGAGACACAAAAGAAACCTGGGCATGAGAGGAGCCCCTTCCCTCCGAGCCTTGACATTATTCGGTGGGTCGAGTGCCACACCTTCGGCGCATCGATTCCCGCGGGCGCGCACCTGAACATCCATCGGCCAGATCGTACCGTGCAGGCGACAAGGCTCCACCGCCATCGCGACGCAGGGAAGGAGTGGGGAACAATTCGCGGCGGTGATTAAAGACCCAAGGAACAGACGATCAGCATTCAAACGTGCAGAATGCGGGCAGCCACGCCGCACCTGCCACTTCGTCTGACACGGCTTGGCATCCGCCAGCTGATGCTTCCCTTTACGGTCCTTGTCTCGATCTGATTGGCTGACGATACGAGCCAATCAGATTCTTGATGTAGCTGGGCCAGTCGCGTGGGAACGTTAACCTGTGCGCTGCCGGCCACGCCTTTTCCACGTTGCGCGTGGTGCTGGCAGGTTCAAATAAGGGCAGAGGGACCGCAGGAAAGTCTCCGGGAAATTGGCGCTGATGTTCTTTTGCCCAACCTCAAGCTATTCGGATCGGGGCTGTGGTGCAAGGAAAGGAGCGCTAACCGCTGAAAGAAAATACGGAAAGGAAATACGGAGCATGCATGGAGAATTTATTTGGTACTACCACGCCCAGAATCCCCTGACTAGTATGTGTTGTAGCTAAGCTATAGTCCAACAAATAACTTTTTCCAAGCCCTGAGCAAATGCAGGCTGCAGCGCTCCTTACCTAGAACTAATTCATACATGACAGCCCTTCTGCAGCGAATAGGATTTGATTGGGCGCCGAGGATTGAACCGTGAAGACTGTCATGCAGACCTGGGCAAAATGTGGCCCTCCAGATGTTGCTGAACTGCAACTCCCAGCAGTCCTAGCCCACACAGCCAATAGTGAGGGTTGTTGGGATTTGCAGTTCAGCAACATCTGGAGGGCCGCACTTTGCCCAGGTCTGCGTGATATATAAGTCAAATTTGGCTTACTTCTGGGAGCTGGAGGGCTGCACTTTGCCCAGGTCTGCGTGATGTATAAGTCAAATTTGGCTTACTTCTGGGAAACACGTTGGATTACAGGGCAGGCGAACACTGATTTGTAAATGGGTTTATCCTGTTACGAGAGGGTGAAGTGGCAAACAAGCCAGGGTCTGCTCCGATGGACCCCATCCAGATGTTCCAATTAGATAACCTTTGCAGCTGAGGCGACACAAGCAGTCATTCCGAAATACCATCTGGTGAAGGTTGTAACAAACTTCAGCAAAAAAAAGAGAGGAAATCATAGTCTTATTTAAGCTTTGTAAGGTTTCCATGCGGTGCATATTGGGGAGGGTGGTGGGGTAGTAATTCCCACTGAATTCCCCTGGATTTATCTGACATTTATTATTTCTTGACATAGCCCTACGTCGCCTTTAAATCGAAAAAGCAGCAAGTTTAAAATCGTCCAGCAGGAAAGTCCTGGATACGCCTTTAAATCGAAAAAGCAGCAAGTTTAAAATTGTCCAGCAGGAAAGTCCTGTTTCTTCACCAGTAAACCAAATTATATAGGGTGCTATATTCTCAGTAAATGACTCTTAAGAGTACAGCCCACGTACATTGTTAATAAAGGAGATTCATTCACAAGCCTCCTTTCAACACTAGCATTACTTCAAATAGAGTACGGTACTAGTACCGCTCTATGTCCTCAGCTGGACTCAGAGGTTGAGAAAAGTTACTTTGGGACTACAACTCCCAGTATCCCCCATCAGCCATGCTAGTTGGGGAAATTTGATAGTTGCCCCCAAAGTAAGGCCTTTTCAAATCCTGGAATCAGAAATTGCTTAATTTCCTTCTCTGGTGAGTATTAACCAACCCTTTTCCAACGGCAGTGAAGAATGTTCTCTCATTTGGAGAAACTATTGTTTAAGCCTTTCCTCCCACCCCAATCCTTATTGCTCACACTCTGAAGCAACGCTGTTTTTGATGAGGATTATTCAGAACGACAGGTTCTGGAGCTCACGTGTTCTTCACAATCCTAGCAGTAGTGGATCCTAGCAGAAAGATTCCGGCCCACCATGGTATTTTTCCACAGCTCCGTTCACACGTTAATCGAAGAAATGACGTGCTTCTTCCGAAATAAATCTCTGTAGGGGTGATTTAGAGAAGATTCGCCTTCGTTCGTGTGAATGCAATGCACATGCGAGTTAAGCGCCGATGTCGCATCAAATAGTCAAGGGAGGGGGTGGCATCCGAATCGAGACCACAGGGGGACAATGGGTTAAAGCTCTCCTTTCCTTGCACCACAGCCCCGATCCGAATCACTTGATGTTTCCCTTAAAAAGAATCACGGGTAAACTGCTTGACTAACGCCGCGTCCCTTTTGGGCGCAAGTCAATTACCTGCTGGGTTGTCGTGACTTTAGAAACCTGCTGAACGGCAGAGGTGCAATCGGCTAAGTCTTGCCAGTCGATGGTAGCCAACGCTGCAAAGGGGAAAAGACAGGGCGTTGGATACTCAGAAGCAAGCCGGCTCAAAAGTAGAATAGATTTTCACGTCTTTTCGAGAAGGAGGGCAGAGAAAACGTGCTGATTTAGATATACAGTACTGGGGATATATTTGTCAGGGGCGATGCCTACTGTACATATAGCCGGACTACCTCTCATCATCTCTGACCTTGAACTAAGGGGAGTTGGAGTCTATCAACACCTGGAGGGCCATAGATTACTTGCTCCGGTAGAATGAGCGAGGATTGTCTTAACAAAGGGACGTCGTTAAGAGGTAATTAACTTTTTAAAAGCCCGGAACTGGAGCAGATCTCAGTGCAAACTCACCGACATCTACAGACTCCGGAGAGGGGTCGTTGTAGATGGCAATTGGGTTGCTTCTGGGTTGGATCTTCCGTGGTTCCTGTTGGTGAGCAATCACACGTTAGGACTGGAAGGCTGCACTTTGCGGTACATTTACTTGGGAGCAATACAAATACTGTACCCACGAGATACCCAGCATGGTGTAGTGGACAGAATAACGGGCTAGGAGACCTGGGTTCGAATTCCTACTCAGTCATGGAAGCTCACTGGGGGAATAGATCTGGCAAAACCACTCCGCAAATATCTCACATAACCTCGAAAGCTGTTAGGGTCAGTTTCGACTTGAAGGCAGAAAATAACGAAGCTCTAATCAAACTCAAATCAGCCTGACCACGGAATAAACCTCTATAGGGATCGGGCTGTATCGCCCTTTGGTGTGCCTGAACCTTTTCTGATTTTTGAGTAAAATATGATGCAGGTGGGTTGTAAGGACATCCATACGGCAGTCCTCATGTTCATTGCAAAATAAATAAATGAATTCTGAAGTGAAAGGAACAGCCTTTTGCTGGAGAAACTCTTGATTTTAGTTTCCTGCGGCTGTTCGTTCAAGCAGTTAGGAAATTTCTATATGCTCAGAGGCACTGTTACTACTACTACTACTACCACTGCTCCTAGTGGTTGAACAGGGAAGGTCCTCTCTTGAAAAAGGGGGCAGAGGTCGTTTTCTGGACAAGATCGCCGGCGGACCGAAGAGATCCTTGCTCTAACCCCTGGACGACGCTCTCTCCCTCCGGAGGTCAGCGTCAGCCTGCCTGAGACTTCCCGGGCGATTCCCGTCGGTGGAATCAGGCGGCGTGACTCCTGCCTCCGGCTCCGCCGCCTCGGGTTTTGGGGCTCGTTGCCTTTTTCCCGGGCCTTCCCGCGGGCAGCCCCGCACCTTCTTCTGTGCTCTGGCCGCCTTCCTCCCCAACCTCTCGGCCAGATCTTGCACCCGGTTGGGGCAGAGGCTGCCGCAGGCTTGCCGGCCGCCGTGGCTTCCGCCTGCGCCGGGGTTCGGCATGGCGAGCTTGCTGGCTTGCTCCGGCCTCGGCGATCGGGGCCACGCTCTGCGAGGGGGAGCCCGGCGGCAGGCAGCCTCCAGTCGGGCGTTAAAAAAATTACTAGAGGGATAAGCCTCTAGTATACACAGGTAGGAACTTCGCCTTGGCCCCCTCCGGCCTGGCAACAAGGGAGAGACCAGCCTTCTCCCCTCCTTTTCCATCCCCTCGGCCCGCCGCCGCCGCCGCCGCCGCTCCTGGGTTTAGACTCAGCCCCGGCGATCGCCGAAACCTAGGCACCAAATTGCGCCTTTTCGCAGCACATTGGCGCCGCGGCCAACCGACAAGGAGAGAGAGAGAGCGCGATCGCCTTGTTCTCTTCAGGGTCCGATGATTGCAGACCACAGCTCCGTCGGTCCCAGGACTAGCGCTGCCTCGAAAAGAACCTTGCTCTTAGCCCTACTAAAACGGGTCCGCCGGCGATCTTGTCCAGAAAACGACCTCTGCCCCCTTTTTCATGTCCTGATCTTGTACCCGTGTAAACCCCCCCCCAGAGAAGGCAAGGCACCGTTCAGTGTTCACGGGTCGGAGCCTTAAAAGCCTGTTTGAGCATCTCTTGCGGTGGGACAGTGTGTGGCCCTAGAATGCGGCAGAATAAAGTGGAAGAATGGTAAAGTGGATTTCGGTCTACTACTGATGGGGAAAGAAATTTTAGAAATGCCCCCAGTACTTAAAAAAATAAAATAAACACCAATCTCCCTGCAAAAAGTATAGCACAGGAGGCAAAGGGCTGTGCTAGAATTTCCTTGATGCACTAGTTTTCTGCTTGCAGGACAGTGGGGTTTTTTTTAAACCTAGAGAGCAAATGATATTTCAACCATCTTTGGTCTTTTTTTTCCTGCCTTGTGTCTATATTTTTAATATGTATGCCAACCAGAAAACTTTGGTTATTGAGCAGTTCTTAAAACATAATCATTTTGTTCAGTCAAGTTGACTTATGGGGACCCTTTTCAGGGTTTTCTAGGTACAGAGTGCTGAGAAGTAGTTTTCCATTCCCTTCTTGTGAGTTCACTCTAAGGCTGTGCAGCTGGCCCAAGGCTACATATGCTGGCTTCTCTCCTGGAAGGCACAGGGAGAAATTTAACTCCGGATAACTACTAATTAGTTATCAGCCAGCCCTATAAAAACCAGGCCACTCTAGGTGGTTAACATCAATATAAGGCATAATATTAAAAACGTGATAAAAATTAATTAATACATAACAAACAGGGAAATTAAAACAGATGGCAATCAAGGTGGTAAAATGGGTGATGGAGAGGATAGCAAAAAGAATGGTAAAAAGGGA